CAATTACGACATTAAGGCCTGATTTCGGGTAACCACCCGAACCCTAATAGTAGCCTCTAACAACAAGCATGGGTTACTGCCTACGAACCGACCCTGGGTCTTAATTAGAAATAATTTCGTTAGCGCCTCGCTCACCAATATTGCAGCTAACCTGAGGTGGTCCGTGAGAAGAAGTATGGACCAGCGCCGCTATAGTCGTGCTACCTGTTATCCCTGATGATGGCAAGCACAGGCTAATGCAGGCTACTACTGAAACTGGCCTGCGTCACGTAGATGAGCTGAAATGAGGTGACACAGAGATGACCATTTTTTGGTTAATGCCTGCACCGCGTGACGGGACTCGTACACTGCGGGGAATTTAGGCAATAATTAATGGACAATTACGACATTACGGCCTGATTCAGGGCGTGAAAGAAAACTCGCATGCCCTGCCCGTTCAGATGAACCTTGTCTCTGGCACTGATGTGGGTGTCAGTGATGTCAGGGTGCCTAGCCACTTTCCCACCCAGTTCCCGCACGACATTGGCAACGCGCCTGTTGAGTTTGCGCCGCTTAATGTGGATGGCCTGTGGGTTCTGGGCCCCCCTCCATGCTAGCCTGGGCAGCATACATGACCATATGATGGTAGCTTTTGGACACCTCAGATGCAGGTAAAGCAAGTCGAGATAAATAGCATCAAAAAGCGGCTTAGATGCAGTAGCGCAGAGGTCATTTGAACCCAAGTGGATGACCACGATTTTTGGCTGCGCCTCCTGTTCGATAAGCCTATCGATATAGGTCCGGAACTGGGCCCATCTCATCCCCCCTTTTACCAGCCACTTCCCGCTGATTGGAAATTGCTGACCTGTCTCTGTATGGTGAAGCAGCCGGGCCAGGTAGCTAGACCCGATGAACCAGGCTGCATCTGAAACTCGTGGAGATAGTTGTAGGATTTTGCATAACATTTGGCCCTAACACATTTAAAGATCATAGGATGGATGGTATGCGGATGTATGTCCGGTAAGCCGCCGACTTCCAACGCCCCAGTTCCTGGATCTGTTGTGAACTGACTCCCTGTAATGCTGCTGTGGTGGCTGCCCCTATGCGAAATGAATGTGACGAGTACAAACTAGGGTTAATGGGCTCCGGGATTGACGCCAAAGCCTTTTTGAGCACCGCCTGAAACTGAAATTTTGTTAGTGGGGAGCTATCAAAATGAGTGAAAAAATACCCCGTACCAGTAGGTCTGATGCAGCGGAAACGCTGCACTGCTGCGACAGGACATAATGGGGAGTTCGGCAATGCCTGGATGGTGATGTATGCTCCCAGACCATCCTGATCTGTTTTGGAGCTCCGCAAATGTACCTGTATGGCTGGTAAATCACCTGCGACAGTTATATCTGAAAACAGGCAAGCTCTGTTAGTGCTGTCCTTTGCTGAGGCTGCTACCAGCTCACCGACTCTGAAAAATCCAAAGAAAGTCAACAAATATGCCTCGTAGGACTGGCTGCAGACCAAAGGCAAGGCACGAATGATCTCTGCAAGAAGGTGAGTCGTTATTGGTTGTCGGGTGTCCTGTCGATGAGACAATCTAGACATACCTGAAAGAGCTTTCTGAACAAGGAAGTGGTGTTACACATCGCACATATTATGCAATTTGTGGAGTGCTGCCAGCCCCGATACGTATGACCTGGCTGTGGCAGGCGACCTACCTGACACCGATAAATAAGCAATAAACTGTAGCCATTGGTCCAGCGGTATAGGCCAAAGAGACGGTAAACCAAATGCAGCGCGGAATTGTTCAAACGCTGTTTTGCCCGCCTGATAAGTGCGCCATGTACTTGGTGCCAATGATGAAGTGATGAGACGGTTAACCTCAGACATCAGATGTCCCACATGTCGTCGGGAGTGGGGGTTGGTACCTTGTCCGCATGAGGCGCTGCTGACCTGAATCGTGCCCACTGAAATCTCGAAAGAGAATCTGCTATAATGTTAGCGTGGGTGTCAATATATTTCGCTTTGAACAGAATGTTGTGTCTGAGACATAAAAGCACCAAGCATCTAAGCAGTGACATGACCCGTGGAGGCTTTGCTGTCTGATGGTATGTGGACCACAGCCTGATTATCACAAAAGAACATTATCCGGCTGTTGGAGAGAACAGAGCCCCACAACTTGATGGCGAGAACGATAGGGAAAAGTTCAAGCATGGTTAAATCCTTCAGCCATCCCTTTTCATGCCACTGTGCTGGCCAGCGACCATTAGTCCAATGACCCTGAAAGTAAGCACCGAATCCCTGGCTGCTGGCTGCATCTGCAAAGAGTTGTGCCTCCTGCGAGTTTGACCATCAAGGGTGCAAGAATAAAGTGGTGCCATTATGACTAGCAAGAAATTGAAGCCATACTTTTAAGTCTGCCCGGATACCCTGTGTAATTCTGATTCTATGGTGCGGCTGAGAACACCCTTTTTGAGCATCGATGAGGCGCCGAATAAATGGCCGTCCCATGGGTATAGCCTTACAAACAAAGTTGAGTTTACCAACAATTGATTGAAAGTTGCGCAATGTCACTTTTTTGTTGTGTGCTGTCAATATGTGATTGAGCTGTTGTGTCAGCTGTTCTACCTTATCCCGTGGCAGCCTAATTTCGCCTTTGGCTGTATCGATTGTTAAGCCCAAATATGTTAAGCATGTTGAAGGGTGAACTGTTTTGTCCGAGGCCGCTGGAATGCCAAAGTGATTGAATAGCTGCAATAATGATGTGAGTAAATACTCACAATTTTGGCTCGTTTGGTCAGCCAGGATGAAATCGTCAAGGTAGTGGCTAACATTGTTGCTGCTGGTGTCTTTCCTAATAGCCCATTCCAAAAAGGTACTAAGTTTTTCAAAAAGAGCACAAGAAATTGCGCAACCAAAAGGGAGGCATTTGTCAATGTAGAATTGGTGTTGAAAGTGCATGCCAAGGAGAAAGAATTGACTAGGTGATACAGGTAGAAGCCGAAAGGCTGATTTTATGTCAAATTTGGCCATGTATGCATTTTAACCTAAGGCTTGTACCATGGCGACTGCCTGGTCGAAGCTGTTATACTGGACTGTGCAGAATTCTTGTGGAATGAAATCATTGACTGACTGGCCTGATGGATAAGATAGGTGATGAATGAGGCGGAAGGCAGCCTCTGTGTTTAATGTGGATTGTGTTTTCTTGGGAACCAGGCCAAGTGGGGAAACTATAAGGGTCTGTAGAGGGGGTGACAAGAATGGTCCAGCAATACGACCTGCTTCTATTTCCTTTGTCAGCTTATGCAAGATGATATGAGGATTAGCGTTAGCAGAAGATAAATTTCTTGCATCCCGTGGACCGGGTGGGCCTGTATATTGTAAACTGAAGCCTTGGTTAAAACCTTCCTGAAGTATATTTCTGTCATTTGAATTAATGTGTTGATAAGAAATTAGCCATGGGGTGAGGTTGCAGACTTTGATTGGTGAGGGTGCTAGATCAAGATTGGCGTGTGTTGCTGATGGGGTTATTGTTAGCATGCGCTGGAAATGTGCCCTGTTTCGGCCTAGAGCCTTTATGCTGAAAGCAGCTACTGGCTCCGTGTCCCCTGCTGTCGCATGACTGGCACTTGTGCACATAGTTGCAGTTCTGCCTTCGGCAACCCTGCTTGTTGAAATCCCAACATATGGGTGCAGCAGTGTAGGCACGCTGGTTATGGTTCTGGTTATTGCTAGGGGGTCTGTTGGCAGATTGCGGGGGTTGACGCTGGTTGGGGAGCATTAACTCAAGCCACAGCTGGCCGTCAATGGTGCCCCAAGGCCGTGTAGGGTTACGCTCCATGCGTTGTCTGAATTGCATGTCGTACTGTGCCCAACGATCCCCCCCGAAGCGTGCCGCTGCCCCCCGCACTGTCTCCATGTATGCAAGCAAATGCTGCACAGTGTTCGTATCCTGGTGCTTTTAAACATAAATACTTATAAAGGTATTGAAAGCTGACGTCCACTGGCCTATGGTCAGAGGCCGTGAGGGTTGCTGCTTAGGCCTAAATACCACCTGTCCGGAGCTGTCCAGCTCCATAGAAAAATTAACGGCTTCCTGTGACGCGTCTTTTTGGGGTGGCAGCAATTGGCGCAGGTCTACAAATTCCCCCTTATATATTTTGTCCCGTATAGACGCTCTAACATGGGAGCCAAGGTGCTCGGTTTGCACATGGAGCTGCTGGTAGCCGGCGTTGGGGAGAAAGAAACGCTGCTGGAGTGAATCGGGGTAACCAGTGGGCTGGACAGTTGGCTGTAGATCTAGGTTAGGGCTCAGAGAGTGAACACGTGCATGTGCGGGATATGGAGCGCGTGGGAAGGGAGGTGAAACATCAGGGAGTAACACACCCGGCTGAATAAGTATACTATTGGCAGCATTAGTAAGCGACCTACCTGTCTCTGTATCATCCCGGCTGGTCACTGTCAGCGGCACCCTGGGGGTGTTGTCACCTCGCAAATCCCGCGAAGCGCTCAAGCGAGCCGCTTTCGCTCTCCCCGACACAAGACGGTGATTCAGAGCTGATTTGCGCTTTGGAGGCATATCCAATTAGATGAGGGTCGAACTTCTGTAGAGCGGTGAAAAAAACGGACTTTTTATGCAGCAGGTAGCCTGAGCATGTGAAGTGCTATTAAAGAGCGTGACGTAATGCCGGCGGATATTACGTGTCTCTAAGCTTAGCTGCACGTGAGGCAAGTTGGTGACGTAAGCGGAAGTGAATCCAAGCGCGGGAATGAGATGGTGGACGAAATCAAAACAATGGAGAGGTTAGAAATTGGAACGAAACGGTAACGCAGTCCATAATACCATTTAGCTAAATATTGCTAAATGTCATTAAACAGTAAAAGTGACAGATGTTTGTAAACGTATCCTGCCCCACCGATGGCACACGTCACATACAAAGGTATCCTGTCTGTTGTTCACCAAATGGACAAATATTTTATTTTATTTTGCCGCTGTGTAAAAGATCGGGGTTTTTTGGTTGTTGTTTTTCATGTTTTTATTCCCAGAATTATGTTTACAGACTTTACCTCAGTAGTACAGTACAGTACAGGTAGCTTCATAGTATACAAGTACAGTACCCGTCCTTGATCACATTGTCAAATATCATGCTGTTCACAAATATGTAAAATGGTCAAACTAAGCTTGTATATTAAGTGTTATATGTTTACAGACTTTACCTCAGTAGTACAGTACAGTACAGGTAGTTCATAGTGCACAAGTAGTGTTTTCTTGATCACATTGTCATATATCATGCTGTTCCCAAATATGTAAAATGGTCAAACTAAGCATGTTACATGTTATACTTATATTGAAGTATTGGCAAATAATGTATGGAAGGAGGACCAGAAGCTAAAAAACTTTGGCATAATTACAATTAAAAAAAGCTACCATGTTTGTTGCTTCATAATATTTGATGACTTCTGCATTAATATATCTAATATTCAGAGTTTGCTTTTTTCTGCTTTTTCTATAAATAGCTTCTTTAACCACCAAAATTACAGCATTCAATGGATTATTGTGTTTGCCTTTAAATCCAAATGTAATATTCTTTAGAGAAAACTTAATTTCACCCTCTGAAACAGTTTTAAGCCATTTTTCTACTTCCTTCCATATCTTTTTCACATAAAAGCATTCGAACAGCAGGTGTACCATGGGGTCTGAATCTTGTCCACAGAATGTACATAAGTGTGATTCAGATATTCCTATCTTGTACAGGAAGCTATTTGTTGCTAAAATATTATTCACTATATTAAATTTGAACCATCTCATATTCACACTCTCAGTACATCTATAAGACATCAGATTAATATTTTCTTGTTCTGATCTGTCAATTATTCTATTCAACCATATGGACAAATATATTCATAGGACATCACTCTTGAGAAACCCGTGAAGATCCGGGTTAGAATTGATCTTAAGTAACCCATGCTTGTCGTAAGATGCGACGCGACCGACAGGATCAGGTGGTCAGGCTCGCTGACTTGGTTGACATCGTATCCCAATTGCGTAGAACGATGCTCATGTTGTTGATCACTGGATTATCTGGTACAAACTCGATTATTTACAGACAAACGCCATATAGCTGAGTGCAGCTTAAAACCCACTCACTCACTCACTTTCGTGACTGATGCGTCTGATTTCGAAATATCCCGCTCTTGAGGCGAGTTTATTTCTACCATATCTTCACGGAATTTGTCAAGTAAACAAGGGGCGCCGTGATATTGCCGGGATATTTCTAAAAGCTGCGTTAAACTAAACTCACCAACTCACTCACTCAAGTAAACAATTGATTTGCCATTATGTGTGGTTACGACGCTCTCTCTAAAATGAAACAAAACCATAAGTAAAGGCTACTAATCGTCATGATTACCGTATGGACAGGACAATCTAATGTAGAGAACATCTGGTACATCAATCAGCGCTATCAGCAAGCCCACGATCGATATATGGGCGATGCGCTTACCAGGGTCTATTACAGAAGTGTTATATCCCACCTCTGCTGGCTATGAAACATGACACGCCTTCATGTCGGTAACGGTCCACATGATAGGGTATATGTAGAGGATGTCATAACCCGTGAAGGATATTGCACGGTTTTAACTCATGATTTTCGAATGTGTATATGTCTCAGCGCAACGGCTGTCGCACGTCTATGTTATATTATTCCAATTACAATCGCTTTGTGAAACCAGCATCAATTCCGGTGATCCAAAAGTGGGGTATTTGGTTAAATGAAAATTGATGAAAATGTCGAAATCCTTGTTACACTGAAAATCATCCTGAAAGAATGAAAGACATAGTGTCCTCCTATTCCATATATGTCAACATGAACAGTATTCAGCAAGGTTCAGACATTTAGACAGTCGACGTATCAACTAAATGATGCTCTGTAAGGGATAACGAAATGGTGTTCCAAACAGGATCGCTAGGAGGATAGTAATTGTTTTTTTTCAGCAAATATAAAAGACAATGAAGTAAGCTGATTCTGTCTGATGGAAGACTAGCTGGGTCATTAACCACCCCACAACACTTCCCAACACCCCTCTCTATCCGACATCGAACCTTGTAACAGGTCACTGAGATGAGAACAGCAATAGATGATGGATGTTGCTTTCTGGACATTGATGAAAAAAGACGTCACCATGTTTAGAAAAAGTCAAATACAAAGGTTACCGTCAATACCAACCTTCTCACATCTATTCGTTTGCTTGATGTCAATTGTAATAGTCAGGTCGTAAACGATGGAGGACTTTGTTTTTATCACGTTTCCGAGATCGTGTTCATGTTTGTTAACTTCTCAAGACATGATTACATCTTATTACATACATGTATTGTATGTAAGAACAATGTATATTGTAGTTACAAGTTCATATTAATGTATTTTGTCGTAAGATTTAATAGTTATGATTCGCTCCAGAGATATGCTCGAATTGTCCCGCGATCTCCAGGTGATTACGTCATCAAAACATGTGTTGTTGATTCAGAGATTGTTTATACATTAAATCTGCTAAAATATAAATGGATATTTAAAATGTACTTACACAGGCGTGTTCCTGGAGGTGGTAACTGGTAAACTATATCCGTTTAATTTAATGTCACGTCTTATTTGGATGTTAGATCGCATTTTTCTCGCTCTAACGTTCAGCGTCTTCTGCTACATGCATTACCGGAAGTACGATGACGTAACGTATAGCATACTCTCGATCTAAAGCAATATTAGAGAGACAACAGACTCAACGTAAGTTGTAGTGTTTTTGGGCCGAGAGATTGTTTTTAGGAAATTTTGCAAGGTTAGAGTTTTATATTTGAATTACTAATAACTACATTGCTGCATTCTTGGCTCTGCCTTTGCGCACAGTAGTTATTCTTGTGAAATTGAATATTTGGAAGTTATAGGAATAATCGATCTACAGATATATTTGATTTCATATTTGTGTCCTCAAATTGTTTAATGAAATGATTTTTTTTCCATTTTCTCCCAGGATGTGTTAGGACAAATGACGAAGTGGAGAAAAAGTGACACTTTTAGAATACAGCACCACAACTTCTCGTGGACGATCTCTGCCGTAGGTCACGTGTCCTTAAGACAAGCAACCAGTTTGTGGGAACCCGTCGGACGCGAACCCGCAACCTTCGTATTGTTAGCTCGACTGAGCTACGTCCACACTGTTGCACAATGTGCAAATTTATCGAGTCATTCCTACGACGTCACGGAAATGAACGGAAAGAGTCGAATAGGTCACGGACAATTACGAAGGTTACGGGTAGACTTGGTGTCTCGTGATTTTAATCTACGGACAATTGCCGAATGGACCCGATGCCATTTGGCACACTCGTCCCATTCCGTAATCTACAAGATAACGTATGGCGTGGATTGAGCCGATATGCCTCAAACTGAAAAGGGTTGTTGACGTCAGGCGTCAGACGTAGATTTCACGGTGCGTGCATGAATGACGCGCTTTTATATAAATCGGTGATTTTGTGACAGAAAAGTGATGTAGGGAACACTGTAAGGATAATGTGGATCGCACTAAGGAACGAGGGAGACATGAGCATGTGTAGTGACCGCACGACGGTGAGTTAGCCTTCGAATCATTACTGAACAAATGAGGCTTCAGTGCAAATTCCAGGCCAATTTCCATTAGCCCAAAATTTCTACATTAAACCATTTCATAGTGTACTTTCGACGTTTTGGTTTCCCGTTTTTGTGTGAAAAAAAGTATTAAAATGCAAAAGGAAAAACAACAAATGGTACTCACGTATTACACCGGACATGTACCTACTACATTGGATTAGGTCCCTAACCCTAAACCCTAAACCCTAATCCCTTGAAATAATCCTAATAAATAGAATGCATTGACCGAACCACCGGACATGCACTTACTATATTGGATAAGATCCCCAAACCCAACCCTAAACCCTAAACCTTAACCCTAGCCCTAGCCCCTTGAAATAATCCTAATAAATAGATTGCATTGACCGAACCAGCACAAACATGACTGCCGTGTCTAGTGTAATGCATTATTACTGCTTCGAAAAATAAAATACTAATATAACACTTTTCTATGTAATGGTGCAAATTACTGAATGACGAAAATATATATGTAAATTTTAAAAATACAAAATACACAAAACATAACACCTCAGCACCCCGTAATACAAATAATTATGAACGTATAAGTGAAAAAAGAAACATATTTCAAACAGGTGCTTGCAAAATATTGCTCATCCGCCGGTATACAACTACTGGAAACTCTCAACATCGTTGGGCTTTTGCAATGACATAGCTCGTAGAGATGAACCACCAGTGAGCGGAGCTTATACGCACTATCTGAGCCAGACAACCGTGTTGCCATGCAGGCGTCACAGGGCATTGTTTCGAGAACGTGCTTTCGAACAAAATCACATTAACACGTCACAATTTAATTCTGGACTCACAAAAGTCCAGAAATTCTCCGCACTGTGGGCACTTTCTGACAAGGGATTTGACCAATTTAAACATGCAGTTGTTATGAATATATGCCAAGGATGAAAAAATGCAAAAAACTTTTTCGAAAAAATGTTTAATTTCGATCAGAATTCATGTTTTGGAGGTTATAAATGAATGAATGTATGTTTATAAACATCATGAAACAAATTTCAACTCATTTTGACTTAATTCGACTAACTTAGAGCGATATTAAAAAATCTCGCCCATGGGCGAAAAATATGTTGGCCCATGGGCGAGAATATTGACTTTTACTCAAAATACATGTTTTTCCATGTTTTGAAGGTTGTAAATGAATGAGTGTATGTTTATAAGCATCATGTCACAATTTCAACTCATTTTGACTTAAATCGACTAACTTAGAGCGATATTAAAAAATCTCGCCCATGGGCGAAAAATATGTTGGCCCATGGGCGAAAATATTGACTTTTACTCAAAATACATGTTTTTCCATGTTTTGGATGTTGTAAATGAATAAGTGTAGGTTTATAAGCATCATGTCACAAATTTCAACTCATTTTGACTTAAATCGACTAACTTAGGGCGATATTAAAAAATCTCGCCCATGAGCGAAAAATATGTTGGCCCATGGGCGAGAATATTGACTTTCACTCAAAATACTTGTTTTCCCATGTTTTCGATGTTGTAAATGAATGAGTGTAGGTTTATAAGCATCATTGTCACAAATTTCAACTCATTTTGACTTAATTCGACTAACTTAGAGCGATATTAAAAAATCTCGCCCATGGGCGAAAAATATGTCGGCCCATGGGCGAGAATATTGACTTTTACTCAAAATACATGTTTTCCCATGTTTTCGATGTTGTAAATGAATGAGTGTTATTTTATAAGCATCATTGTCACAAATTTCAACTCATTTTGACTTAATTCGACTAACTTAGAGCGATATTAAAAAATCTCGCCCATGGGCGAAAAATATGTCGGCCCATGGGCGAGAATATTGACTTTTACTCAAAATACATGTTTTTCCATGTTTTGAAGGTTGTAAATGAATGAGTGTAGGTTTATAAGCATCATGTCACAATTTCAACTCATTTTGACTTAAATCGACTAACTTAGAGCGATATTAAAAAATCTCGCCCATGGGCGAAAATATTGACTTTTACTCAAAATACATGTTTTTCCATGTTTTGGATGTTGTAAATGAATGAGTGTAGGTTTATTAGCATCATGTCACAAATTTCAACTCATTTTGACTTAAATCGACTAACTTAGGGCGATATTAAAAAATCTCGCCCATGAGCGAAAAATATGTTGGCCCATGGGCGAGAATATTGACTTTCACTCAAAATACTTGTTTTCCCATGTTTTCGATGTTGTAAATGAATGAGTGTAGGTTTATTAGCAACATGTCACAAATTTCAACTCATTTTGACTTAAATCGTCTAACTTAGGGCGATATTAAAAAATCTCGCCCATGGGCGAAAAATATGTTGGCCCATGGGCGAGAATATTGACTTTTACTCAAAATACATGTTTTCCCATGTTTTGGATGTTGTAAATGAATGAGTGTATGTTTATAAGCATCATGACACAAATTACGTAAAAGGGTATTATGACGTATTTTTAAAGTTTGTGGTGCTGTATTCTAAAGGTAGGCCCATTATTAGAGTTTTATATTTGAATTACTAATAACTACAGTGCTGCACTACCACGTTCCCCACCCCTAACCCGTTACATCAATAAACATAAGTCACGTGACGCAAGGCAATGCCTTCAGTCAAAACTATGCAAATACTTTCGGATGATATCTTCCAATTTATTTCTTCGCTTTCATAGGGTTCGCCAGAAATATAAAAGCTCCCTTACTTTAACTTATGCTTTCTTCGTGAAGATCCGGGTTAGAATTGATATTCAGCATCCCATCTGGTGGTAAAAGGCAACTAACGGGTTTTGGTGGTCAGGCTCTCTGACTTGGCTGACATATGTTATCGTATCTCAGTTGCGTAGATCGATGCTCATGATGGTGATCAGTGGATTGTCTGTTCGAAACTTAATTATTTACAGGCTGCCGCCATATACCTGGAATATTGCTGAGTGCGGCGTTAAACAACAAACAAAACAAACTTAGAAGTTAAAAACAATAACGTTTCAGTTGATAACTTCTTCCTGCCCAAGCAAACACTAAGAGCCAAGATTAAAAGCAAGACTGATGTTGGCACTGTAAAGTCAGGTGCGACTAGGGACCTGCTGACCAGGAGCAAGAAACTAGACTTGTTGACCATCTGACATACTTGACATCAGTTGAATACGGATGTACGAGGAAAGAGGTTATCCAGTTAGAATCCGGCATTATTTGTCATTGGGAAAACGTATTTTGATGACATTGGCGTGATATTGGACAAACAGGGTTTCAAATCAAAGCCTGGAGTAATTTGTAGGTAGAAGAGAAAATAATGAACCTACGACATGTCGCACCAACATTGTTAGCTACTGAAGTTGCTGTGGCCTACGAGATTCATGGTTGCGGGGTGTGGACACGCTCTGGGCATATTGATTCCATCCTACCTTGTTTTCGCTGGTGCTAGAAGGGTGCAGTGATTTGTTGTAGTGACTATGCATAGTGAGGGATTTTCAAATGATGTGATATGCCAAGATTACTGGGACAGGCACTTCTTTCGATATGCAACTAAGCCAATGCCGAAGAGATCTTTGCGTCTTCCGTTCTGACTCTGACTCAATTGTCAGAAAGTCTGGAATATACTATGGTATATCTGTTTGTCAAAACGATTAATAAAACTGCTTTCCAAGCAGCTTGTGACACATTTTAATGCTCTTTGCACGCAAACCATCTTAAAAGTAAAAAAGAAAACCCAAATGCATACAAAGTATTAATTTTAGCCTTTCTAAAAATGTGGACCCATGGCCTACCTGTTCTCAGTTACTTGAGTCATTTAGAAAATATTGTGGGTCATGTCCAATTGCTGTACCTTCTTTGCCATACAGAAGATAGTAGTTACAGGCATGAGTTCAAGATCTGTTCAAAACTTTTATTTAACAGTAAATATCAATTTAAAATAAATTTGACAAAATGAAAGAATAATACTATAAATAACACCCAATCTCCGTGTTCATTACCAAATGAACTGAACACTGACTGGACAGTAGTCTTCGTACAGATAACACTAACTCTGATTCTTTCATCTGAAACTTTTGAAACAACTCAACTGGACACTTCAACAAAGAACAGACTTAGTGTTCTTATCATTATGATCAGTTGGACAGTGACTTAAAGTGTGTGAGTTTATTTTTACGCCGCTTTTAGCAATATTCCAGCAACATCACGGCGGCCCAGTGACTATTACATCTTTATATCGTCGGATTTATGTTTTCGGACGTCACACGTTTACTATCGCTAAAACGAGGCGTGACGCAAACATTTTAAATACTCTGATGATGGCTACTGTTTAACATGAAGTTGTTTTCAATAAGCAAATGACAAATTGTTTGTGCAATAATCGAGAAAAAGAACGGATGTTCTTAAGCGTAATATTTCACGCCTCTGATGATTATGAAACAGATGTATTCTATCACTAGAGTGAAGTGTTGCCAGCTAATGGGTTTTACACCTTGCGCCTATGTCGGAACCACAAGAGATTGGATCAAATATTGTCAACTAGTGCATGCGTTGCATCCACCATATGTCATATATCCTCTCGTAACACTGCCTGTAACATTGACGGATCACAATCACTGATAATCAACAATGTTCAGTTATTACGTCCGTTATGACCCAGGACACAAACACTGATTATTTGGGTTTTTTAACCAAATCGTCGGGTAGGCCATTTTTCGCATGTTGACATTTCAAAGAGTAGAACATTTCAAAATGATAGAACAAGAAATTCACTGAAACTCATTTTAGGGGAAAAGGTATTTGAATGATCAAAATTTGACAACCTTTTTAATTCTTTATGGTATATTTGTTCTATGGATTCTAATTTCATCATGCATGTCGTATGGCTATGAAAAGGGTTTGTCGGTTTATTAAAATCTATTTTGATTTGTAAGATACCGTAATTCATCTTTAGATCCGTTTCTGATGAATCCTCTACTGCAATGATGGACATTTCTAATGGATAAAACGATATCAGGAGGGTAACATATCGACAACAATTTCCAACAAAACGCCTGCATTTTTATTCACAGATATACTACTGGAATTAAGTAACTGTGCATTATTTGATGTTGTACCATTTCTAATGCAAACAGATAATAACATGATTTGTGGTGTTTTCCTTTATCACTGTTTAACTGCTGACAGGATAATGTCGAAATCATATGATTCGACACAAGGCATCGTGACGCCCTCGTAGAGAAGGTGTCAGAGGTCACAAATTCACAAATTCAGTATCCTGTGTGTCCACCATTGGAGTTGATGCAGGCTTGACAACGACGACGCACAGACGATCCTAATCGATTGAAGAAAGCTTGGGAAATGTTGTTCCATGTGTGAACCAACGCTTGCCCCAATTCAGCTAACGTCAATGGTTGATTCTGGGCTTGACGTAAACGCCTCTCCATTTCCTCCCAAGCGTACTCGATAGGGGACAGGTCCAGAGAAACAGCTGGCCATGGGATTACCGGAATAAGATAAGATAAGACTTTTATTTTATTATCCTGGACGAACTTCTTTTTGCATCTAAACGATCTCAAAATAAATATATATTCAATTCACAAAAAGTATACACAATAATTACATGGACGAAATGAATGCTGGTTACACACATACACACAATGAAACTGACATGATTCAATAAATTATCCACATAGGTATAGAGGCTGAATACTTCTAGTAGTTATCATATGATGATTCAAAACATTTGTTGCATTTACGAATACTGGATGGTATGAAAGACTGTCGAGTTCTGTTTGTTTTGAGCGAAGGTAATCAAAAGCGGCGTCCAGAAGGAAGTAGTTCAAAATGGTGTGATAAAATATGGTAACTATCAATTCTAATTTTAGTTGCCTTTTTGACAATATGGCGCTCATAGATAAAAGAAATACACCCGAAAGACACTCCAGCAATTTTGCGAGCAGACAGACCCCTATACCAACACAGAATATTGTAGGTCAATACACATTCAATACAGGTTTGATATAAAACGGTCATTATTGTTTTGTCAATAGAAAAGTTTCTTAAACGGGCGAAGAAAATAAAGTCGCTGTCGGCTTTTTTTTTGTAAATGTGATCAATATGTTTTGAAAACGAAAGTTTTGAATAGAAAAATGACGCCGAGATATTTGTAACTGTCCACTCTTTCAATATTTCATTATCAATTACAAGAGGATGCAGAGGTTCCTTATTTCTCTGAAAATCAACCACCATTTCCTTAGACTTCTTTACATTCAGAAAAAGAAAACTGTCTTTACACCAAGATAGAAATGTTTCAATGCCTTAACGATTATGTTCAGAATTAGAAATAAGGCCAGTAACAGCTGTGTCATCTGCGATTTTCACAGTAAACACGTAATTTAATGACAAGTGACAGTCAATGGTATACAAAAATGAAGAGTAAGGGATAAAGACCACAGCCCTGTGGAGCTCCTGTTGATTTTGAAAGAAAAGAAGATTGATGGCCATTGACACCGACATACTGAGTTCTATGTACCGTGAATCCTTCAAACCCATCTGATAATGTTGCTATCAACACCTAGATTAAACAGTTTACTCATCAAAAGGTGTGCCTGGATGGTACTGAAGGCGGGAGAAAACTTAAAAAAGAGGATTATTACATGCCTGTAGGTGTTGCAAGTCTCCAGATGAGAGTAAATATTTTGCAGGAGGGTCAATGTTGCGTCCTCCGTCCTACTATATGCAAACTGTAAATGACCCAGCAAATGACTAACATTATCAAGTAACATTTTTTGATAACCTGTTGTAATCACTTCATCCCTATCGATGTCAAAGCAACTGGGAGATAGTCAATATTTACGGCGGGGTGATTCCTTTTTGGAACAGGATCGACAGTGGAAGTTTTCCAGAGAGTAGGGATTACAGCCGAACTAACTGACCATTGAAACATCTACTGAAATATGACACATAGTTGCTCTCCACATTCTTTCAAAACAATACCAGATAAGTTATCAGGGCCGCAAGATTTGCCTACTTTGAGTTGTTTAAATGACAACAGAACATCACTTGAACAACAAGGAGAGTTCTATGGATATACACCTTTATATTCATCCTTACATTTTGCTTTTTCACATAATATATCCTTATATTGCTTTAACTTTGTGAAGATTACCTGAACAAAACGCTCTTTTCTTTTAATTCAATAAAGAGACTCATTATAAGGTAAACTTTGATTGTCCTAAGAGGAAGACTATTATAAACACTAAACTTGATGTGGTCTTGACTGCGTTGGTTAGTTCTTACGGGTTGGGGGGTGGGTGAGTTGTAGTCACCCATTTTATTTATTACACATGTACTAGGGGGTCAGCAATTTTGTACATACATTTTAAGGGGGGTCATTCACATTGTACATGCTACTCCATAAAAAACATCTCTGCCCCCTCCCCTTGCCATATATTATGAACGGTCCCTAAGACATAGTTTTTACACCATTTTTGGTTCATGCACACACACCGTCCCCCACTCGTTACCTTTTCCGTTTTCTGAAGATCCCTGTCCATGCGATTTGGTTGGCAAAATCCGGAAAGGGTTTTTGATTCTGAATTCAGACTTTCGTTCAGACATGTTTCAGTGAAGCAGAACAAACAACTTTCTCGGTATTCGTACATGAATAATGCATATCCCAAAATCCCTTAAGTTGCTTTTACCTGTGAAGGTCTGGTTTAGAATATTGATCTTCACTAACCCATGCTTGTCGTAAGAGGCGACTAACGGGATCGGGGGGTCAGGCTCGCTGACTTGGCTGACACATGTCATCGGTTTCCAACTGCGCAGATGGATGCTCATGCTGTTGATCACTGGATTGTCTGGTCTAGACTCGATTATTTACAGACTGCCGCCATCTAGCTACAAAATTGCCGAGTGCGGCGTAACACTAAACTCACTCACTTTAGTTGTTTTCGTAACGACTGCACATTTGAGAGCATCAAGGCCGTTTGTTCTTCCTTGCACGAATTGTCCTTGCCAAAACCTCCTCTTTTGCCTCTCGTGTGATTCTTGACAGCAACATCGTCTTTCAAACATCCCCCAGAAACATATATTAGAGATTGTCCCGTCAAAGAAGAGTCACAGAACTCCAAAAGTTGAAGGCGGTCAACAAAGCCAAACTGTCCGGCTATGATGAGTAGGACTATCAAGCCATAGAAACACTGAAAACACCGCAATCGGTTCACCACGCTCTTCACATATTGAAGAAATCACCTTTGATGAAAAGCTGAACAACTTTGACGACAGAAGAAAACACATAAAACTAGCAAAACTAAATAAAACGAGAGAGCCATTTCGATACATGTCGTCACCTACCTGTCTCAAGAAATCTGTCACAACACGAACGACATGTGGACGAGCATTATCCTACTGTAGCGTGAAGTTGGGTCTCTATCCTTGAATGAACGGCTGCACATGAGGCCCAATGATCTCATCCATGGATCGCTGACCTGTCAGAGTTGCGTCCGACCATGAGATGTGATGCTCCGCCTTACCATACCGCTATCGCCACGAAACTGTCGGCTTTGAAACTCTCACGGGTCAGCATACCGTTCACCTCGACGTCGGTACACCCTTGCACTACTATCTGAACTGGCCAGATGAAATCTCGACTCGTCAGTGAACAAAACAACTGTTTGGACGTAAGTCCAGGAATGGTCCGAGCAGTCAAACTGGCAGTCTGGAATCGATTCCTCAGATGACCGTCTCGTGGACGACCAGTCCGAGACAAATATCTTGTGTTCCCATTATGTCCGCATAGAGAAGACATCGATGGACCCCAAAATGTCTGGCCACTTTATTTTAGACCATTCCAGTCTCCAGCATACCTAGCCCAGACGCTGATTTTCTGTAAGCCGTGGCATGACGTACGCACCGTTTAGGTTGAAATTAACGTGGTTTCCACAACATTCAGGAGTACAACATTCAATCGTTCTTCAATTTTCAAGTGTGTGAACTTCAGGTATCAAAAAGCATGAAAATAGTGAGTTAGTTCATTGTGCACAAAGTGCACGAGCCACGCGCGATGCGTGACATGTGTATTTAGGATTATTTTTATAATCTAAAAAATATCTTTTTAAATAACCTTTATTTTATGCAATTTTATGTTATGCACAGTTACCTTTTCCCGTTAGTATATCTGTGTAACAGGATGACAAAACCGTATGGCGTACATGTATTTACAGATCAGTAACCACATGTATCACGTGTTAGAGGTGATTTAGCATTGGCGGGGTTTGCATACTTACAACAGATGTGACTCATTTCAGCTTTATATTGGTGGAAACTCTCTAAACGACACACTTCGTCAGAGTCCGCAGCTAAAGATGGAGCTCCCCCTGATGTTATTTCTCTTCGTGGCAGTCTGTTCGTTTGCGGGAAAGGGAGATGCTAGAAGAGGTAAGTTGAAAACGGACATATTACAACTTTCATCAGTGTAGAATTCTTACAGATGATATTACTGTTTTATTGTTTACCTTAACGATTTTTTTGCAACGGTACTCGGAAGCAAATTCAACGCCTGTGTCGTTCTGTATCGATCTGAACTTCGTTTTTAACAGTTTTGTAACATGAGTCACATTATGTTTACACAATGCCATCTAGAAAGTGGCCCAATGTAACATATGTTATATTTGTAAATACGATACCTCAGCAAAGTACCGATTGAAATACTATTATCAGTTTTCACCCGGGATTCAAACCCACACTGTTAGAGTCAGGCACCTAATAAAAGTACTTTTACTGAGAACGTGTAATGCCAGGTATAACATTTATTACATCAGTGATAAATTTCACAGTATAACTGAGTAAAATAGACAGGAAATGTTTGTGCTGAACGCACACTTACATAACCCACCCGCCTCAATGTTTCGTAAGTGTTTACTATAGGTGGTACAAGTAAGTCAAAGTTATCAGTTCCAGCAAAATCAGTATCACTGTTGTGTCGTGTCACTGTTGTTTATCCATTACAAGTGACAGACTGGTCAAGATCTACGATTTTACAGGAATCCTTCGCGCAGTGAAGCGTTAGGCACCAAATTAATATATTTTTGTGAGCGTCCTGTTTTCCATGCTTACCATTTTCGCCATAACCTAGTGCCGCGATGTGATATTCAGCTTTCCGTTCAGATATTTATTATTAGTTTTTGCCTTTACAGCAAAACAAATCCCGCTCTGAGTTTGCTAATATTTATATAAACTACCGGGCAGATATCACAAATAAAGTAATTGTTTAAAACCAAGCGGAAATCATTTGCCAAAACAATGATAACAACGCAGCTATCCGAAAAAGATTCGTGCATTTTCAAAACGTGAAAAACGTAACTGTGGTCCAAATGCACGTGATTGTGGCATAAATAGCGATGTTGGACAGAGCAAGCATGCAGTAACCACAAAACCACCACGAATATGCCAAGACAAGCAAGCGCAACGAAACGGGGCAATCGGTATGGCCAATATGTGGCATTTTTCGTCAGCTGGCAAGGACCTTCAACTGCAGCCAGGCCACTATTAATAAACTGATAAGCCGCTACTAGCAAACAGGCCGGAAGATCGGGGAGGCCAAGAGTCACGACACAGGTCGAAGACAGATCCACCTCCGGAACAGATTCGGAATTGTCAATGGCGGCGACAGCACTAGGACACGCCATTTGCAGACCAACAGTCCTTCGACGACTTGGTATGGTTGGTATACCGTCCCTTCCGTGGAATGTCCTTGACCCGTCTACACCGTTAATGCAGACTGTAATGGCCACGAACTGTACGTCGGTGGCAGCGAAGTGACTGGAGAGAGTGCTCTTTACAGATGAAAGTTTGTTCAGTCTGTTCAAAAACGATGGCAGAGTTCGACTTATTCGACGTAGAGAAGAGCGTTAAAAGTGCATTCAAGAAGTTCGAAAGTTCATGGTATAGGGCTGCATTGTGGCCATAACGGATTTAACGTCGTGCTTGAGAATATTTCGCTCATATGACGACGTGCATGCGTGTGTGTGTGTATGTGCGGCTTAAGCCCAGACTTAAGCTGGTTTTATAGTGCTAGCCCACTGAGATACCATGCCGCAGTGAAGCATGAATACCCCACTCGGACACAGTATACTGACTCCGAGCCGACCAGTCCTTGTTGTACCCATTAATGCCGAGCGCCAGGCAGGGACCAACAAGTACCATATTTTAACGTCTTTTGGTATGACGCGGTCGGGGATCGAACCCGCGACCTTCCGCTCTCCGGGCGGACGCTCTAACCACTACACCACGGAGGCGGTCGCATTTGAGAACAAGAAGACTGGTTATCATCCGAGGAAATCAGAATACCCAGAGATACAGGAATGAAGTGTTGACACCTTGTGTGTTGCCCTTTATTCAACAACAGCCAAGAAGAGTCATTTTGCAGCACACGGTCAGAATAGGCCGAGAATACTTTAACGTCAACATTAACGTCAACGTATTGCCTTGACCAGCGCGTTCTCCAGACATGAACCCCATTTAACATTTCTGGGACCATCCTGGTTGTCGGCTGAGACAGCGTGTACCACCGACAGGAAGTCTCATGGGCTTACGGAAAATGAATCTTGCCGACGTCATCCACCGACTGACGACGTCAATGAGGAGGCGTGTATGGATGCCCAGGATGGCCACTCTCGCTATTGATGTCGTGTCCCCTGACTCCTGTCTCATTATGTGACTCTGTATGCACTTTTTGAATGAATATCTGATTTGTGTAACTTTTAATTTTGACCCTTTGACTCTTTCTTAATGAATTGCGGCAAATGCAAGACCAGCATTACAATGAATTTACAGTCAAATTATTTGGGAAATATTTCTGTTGGTAGTTTACATTAAACTGAGTAAAGAATTCTACCTTTCAGTGCATTTGGCTGATGCACTGTGTAAACTGTTAAACTGGTATGGAAAGTTTTAACATAATTTGATGATGTTAAAAACTTCATAAAAAAATTTAAATCCTGGAGTAAGTTATTATTTAAGCAATGTTTGCATAGCTTCGGTTAAGAGTCAGTCGAATTTATATAACATTGCGTTTTGACAACAGTCCCGTTGTTAGGAATGTAGTACAATGTGAGTTTAGAAGTATTTCCATATTTAGATCTATTTGGGTTCGAGTGTGATCTGGAATGTTTTAGAACAGCATCGATTAATCTAGCATGGTAAGGAACATTCTAGAAATTTTGAAGAATATGATAGGGATCCAGCCCATGCCTCACATTACATTACATCAAAACCAGTGGCAGTGGAAATAGTTTTAGCCTGAAGATCCAGCTTTTGAATCGTGTGACCACTGAAAAATACTTACTCAGTGCATATTCTGATGTCCTTTCAGATCCTTTGGTGTATTTTAAGGCAACTCTGACAAAGAGTTCGAACTCTGTCGAAGCTTATCCGTTTGGTGTTGGCAGAATCATTCCTTTTAGCAGCGTTGATGCCAACATTGGTCGTGGGTATAACCCTTCATCTGGGGTATTTGTTGTACCTGTATCTGGTAAGAATACGATTTTGTCATATCCTGAATGGTTATTCATCATTTACATACCATGTATCTAATTTCAGTTATATTGTATGAGACATTTTCAATTACTAGAAGAAATCATTTCTTCACCAATATGTTAAGGAATTCTAAGATTCCGCAATAGTTGATGCATAATATGTGTTTTTTTTAAATAGCCGTGCTTATTTACACTTGTCAGAGGGTACAAAAAGAACATTATCTTGACCTCATTTGACGGACTTCCATTTATTGTGGAAGCCTCAAATACAGAGCGGAGTAATTTAATTTTGTGTGGTGCCCCACTCTAAGAATACCGGCAGGACTCACCGACAAAAAGAACAAGAAAGGTGTACTCCACATGTAACCTACTTATTATACATCAGTATTGTCTGGAATTATCAGTAAGTGACACTAACGCTGCCACACCACAATAACGAAAGCGTATACAGTTTTGTTGTATTTGAATGGTACTGTAATAATTAGATAAATCAATACGGTCGGATATTCCATCAATCAATTACTCTTATAGATGTACATTTACCATTCTGGACAATTAAGTATCAAAGGGCACTTACCGGTATTTGGTCAAACTTTGGTCTGTCCAGCAGTGACATGCAGACTGCGAGATAACGACACCATCTTTGCAGGTTATAGTGGGATTGCAACACCAACTTCTTTAACTCCTCATAGTCTTGTATTGCGTAAACTGCAAATAGGAACAAATCAATAATCAATGTTCAACTTCAGTGTGTACTGACATTTAGATGCAGGGTATACTACTATGATCGTTGTATTCCAGGTTATTATCAGTTCAGGGCACTTCTACAATCAACTGGTAAAGGTAATTCTGATTTCGCGCTGGTTGCAAAGGGTTCTGTGAAAGCCCATGTGACCCTTCGCACCGATTGGACCAGTACCACTCTGAGCGCTATCATCCATGTCAACAAAGGTGACCACGTCTTCATCAAGAAAACCTACCAGAATGGTAACTGCCCATTAAGACAAGGGCAATGGTCGCAGTTTATCGGATACCTGCTCAGAAAAGACTGAGTATCTGTCTACAAATAAAGTACGATCAAATGGTTTCACTTTGTTTTCTACATTACTTCAAAAACATACAACATAGTCACAGTAACCAAAATATCCACAGACATTTTACAATAGAAGCGGTAAAACCCCTTCCACACTATAAGAAATCTCTGCCAAAAAGCAGAGTCGATTGTATAATTGTGACTATATCGTGAGCATACATGTATATATACTATGCAGCAAAAGAAACGTCTGTTTTGAATTTTCCGTCGCAGAAACGGATAACTGTAGAGTCATTTAATGTTTTGATTATATATTTTTCACAACATCTCCAAATTTACCTGAGCAAAGACATTCCTTCCCAAACTCAGAATGGAACCCAGGAAATGGTCTCAAAAACGCAACCTGATCTCGGAGATGGTACGGTGTTCTCCATGTTTTTCATGCTACTTATGCTGCACGTGCTGTTCACAAGGACCAGCCATATAAAATGCACCCCAAACCTGGTTGAATCATTCACATTACAACATCAGCATGCACTAGACAGCTGTGTTGCCAGGCGCTAGGAAGACTGGAAGCTGGCCGCTCACAAGCCGTGGTCAATCACTTCCAGATCAACGTTCGAACCATCAAGAGGCTGCAAACGTTTCCGGGGCACCAACACCAAAATGATTCCCCGTAATGCAGAGAAATTGTGACCACAAGATAGTCAAGACCGCCACGATGTGCAACAGCATGTACAGAATTCCTACATGCAGACATGTTTTGAGCACGTCAGACAGTGTGAACACATGGAAGACCAATCAGTACTGATACAGTACGCCGACGTCTTAACAGCAGGAGCCTCCATTGCCGTAGAGCTTACCGTGGACCTATCCTCACCCCTCGGCATCGGCGTGAACGTCCACAGTTTGCCCTAAAACACCAAAACTGGCGATACTTGGAGAACTGTTCTGTTCACAGATGAGAACTTTTAACTGGCAGATGGCAGAACAAGAATATGGCGACGACGTGGCATGGAGCGTTACTCAACTGTTCACTCATGGTATGGGGTGGAATAGGCCTGAACCAGAGAGTGTGTTCCGTGGTGTTCCAGAACCTTAGTCCAGGGAGAGGAGGCGGCATCACAGCGGTGACTACCAGTTGCCAAACTTCTAATTTTGCGGAAGCCTTAAGAAATTAATGTATATTCTACCTGCAGATTTGAAATGATTATTTTCTAACCACAGTTGTCACCACAACTCCTAAAGTTTAGGAATAGCATATTTGATACCTCGGATGTGACAAACATACTACCGTTACAGGAAACTTGCAACACGAACATGGATACTCGGGAGGTAAAGAGCTATCCCACTTGGAGGATTCTTTATCGTACATGTAATGTTCAATGCTTCTTATGGGGGGCGGTGGGGAAGCCGACTGGTTAAAGCGTTCGCTCGTCACGCCGAATATCCGGGTTCGATTCCCAACATGGGTACAATGTGTGAAACCCATTTCTGGTGTCCCCGCCGTGATATTGCTTAAATATTGCTAAAAGCGGCGTATAATTGAACTCACTCACTCACTCTTCTGATGGGTCAAATGTATTATTATCTTCCATCGTGATATTTTAACGTTTGAAAAGTTATCAACCACTTTTTGTCTGGTCCTTAAATGATATTTTTCAGGCCGACATCTTATTCCTGAAATGTTGCTAAGTGCGTATTTCAACTATACATGCCAAACTAAACATTGTTCAGTGACCACAAGCGATGCCAGCCTTTCTCGCTTGCTACCGCCTCCGTGGTGTAGTGGTTAGAGCGTCCGCCCGGAGAGCGGAAGGTCGCGGGTTCGATCCCCGACCGCGTCATACCAAAAGACGTTAAAATATGGTACTTGGTGGTCCCTGCCTGGCGCTCGGCATTAATGGGTACAACAAGGACTGGTCGGCTCGGAATCAGTATAATGTGTCTGAGTGGGGTATGCATGCTTTACTGCGGCATGATATCTCAGTGAGCTAGCACTATAAAACCAGCTTAAGTATGGGCTAGTACAAGCAGCCGCACATACACAAACACACGCATGCACGTAGTCATATGAGCGAAATATTCTCTAGCACGACGTTAAACCCAATTTCACCTCACCTTCTCGCTTGCTATTTTCTTCATTGCACATTTTTTTAAGCAGAACGTCGCTCTCCATCTTATTATAATAATACGTCAATCTATTTTGTAATCTAAATTACAAAATCCCACGCAGCCGAGACAGAACGACAGGAATGTCAAGTGACATAAAACGAGAATTTCGAACATTGCTTAAGTCTTGCTTAAGTCTTTACTTAAGTCTTGCTTACATTTTTGTTAGTAGTTTGCTACAATTAGCTTAGTTTGTTAGTAGTTTGCTAAATGTTTTGTTAGTTTGCTACTGCATATGCTACGGGCGGGTCCGTTTTTAATATGAGTTTGGCATGTTTCGTTTCGGCCAGCAGTGTTTTCACGCGGTCGCGCTCTTGTTTGGTAGGAATGGCGTCGTTTTCTCGCAGGCATTCCTCAAACGAATCCCTGTCCTTGCAGTGAAATAAGGCAATCCATCGCATCTTTTCCCCCAGGTCTTTCAGGACCGAGTTGAATTTTTGCGTCAAACCCCACACGCTGTGTTTCATGTGCCGGCCGGAAAGGGCCAGGTACAACAGCATGTCTCGTGTTTTAACGCTTAGATTGTTGGCGCTGCTATCATCCAGGACAAACAGCATCGACTCTTCTTTAAACTTGTCGTGATAAGCATGCAAAAAATCCTGCAGACCTGTTCCCGGATCGATTTTATGTACGTCGTCGTCCTTCATCAACCACGATCTCTCCGTGTACCTTTTGTTCACGCGCAAAATCGGGCAGAGTATGACGATGTGGTTAAACACCTCCCGATACTATCCTTCCAGCATGTCCAGCATGAATACCATTTTTCCGCAACCCGTCTGGCCGCAGATGATGGCGCAGTGCTGATCGCGAGGTACTTTAATATCCTTAACAAATGGCTTGCACGAATCTTCCATTGTCTATTTTGAGTTGCGCGTCCATAATCACGTATAAATATAAATTTAACTTGCCGGCAGTTTGCGCCTTCTTAGTGATTTGTATCGTGATCCCAACGCTCCCGTTGTCGATGCGTCGACCGCTGCCGTGCAGGGATCGTCGTCCGTGGATCGCATGTCCAGCCACAGCGCATACTTGTCTTGCAGGTAATCCCCGACATCCACGCTGTAGAGTTGAATGTCCTTGATGAACGCGTTGATTTCCGGAGGCGCTTGATGGTCGGCAGTTTTCGGATCTCGTCCAACTGTTGGTGAGGTCGCATGCCCTGGCTTGACAGCTGGTTGGGCACGCCTTCGACGGTCACTTCCACTTTTGTGATCTCGAGAACTTTGTTCCTAGTGACGTCGTCGATTCTTAGAAACGGCACGTATTCTTTTAACGGGAATGATCAGAATGCCTTTCATCGATCGGGCCGGCATGCAGCTCTTGTGTTCAGGATTGATGTTCCTTCTACGTCGGGTCTGAGCATGTCGCTCTTGTCCTTGACGATCTTCCGGTGCTAACTTCAAATTAAGCAAAACGCGATCGTACAGGATGGACAGCTTGCCAGAGTGATCATGTCCGATATGATCTGCCGGGCCATCTCCGGTCGTTGTTTGGCGCGAAGAAATGCACGAGTCGTGACCACACAACGAGATGTTGTTGCGGACGACGTGAGCTGGCCTCGGTGCCCTCGGTAACAGCGTAACGGATAACATTGCAGCTTGCCCAAGTAGTCGTTGAACGTGAGTTCGGTGCCGTCCGGTGTACGGATTCCAGCCTGTCACCCAGCACGGCCTGGTAAATGCATAACCTATTTGCATGACAGACAGTAGTACAGGGTCCTTGATACGCCATGTTATTGCATTCTCTCGTGGTTCTCCAGAGGTCCATGTAAATGAAAAACACGTCACTGTCGCCGATGCTCAGCACCTCGTTGCCACTGATTTTAATGGTGGTTTTCTTGATGATGGCGCGACCCAGGTTGTACACGACCGTGCGTTGGTCTTTCATGGACTCCCAAGTGAAAAGCCTGGGAAACGAAGACGTCGTTCGCGGCCAGGCTGGGGAATCGAACCAGCAGCATTTGGTTTTGATCGATCGTGCTCTGATTATTCATGATCGTCACTGATTGACGGACGACTTTGACTCCGAGGGGTTCCCTCAATCTTCGGGAAGGATCTAGTATTATTCCTTATTGCGACATTTTATGTGTTTATATTACATATTAATTTTTCATAAATTTAATATAAAATAACAATAATGGCTGATTTCGAAATGGACGATTTATCCCCACCCGATGTTGATGTTGATGATGCAGCAGCATTGGCCACCTTGTTCATGGGTGATGCCATAAGCAGCGAAAACTCTTGAAGACGACCGTGAATGATTATTACGATGCATTAACATGAGATAAAATTAAGTCGAGCCTCTGTATCGCGACTATTCCAAGTTCGAAATCAACAGCAAGGGCACGCTGCAGTTGAGAAGACACCTGGCGATTGATCTTATGAACTTTGGCCGGAAAACATGGCGTGAACTACGTCCGCGATGAATTAAACATGCGAGATTAAACATGCGCCTGACCCAAACTTCCACCCAAGCACCAAACTTGGTGCGACGGCAAGCGCCATCACAAGAGACGATCTACAAGACGTCCCACAACCTGCGCAGGAAGCGTCAGACGGACTCAAAGAAATATTGTCCACGTACTGGACAAATCCTTACCCGGTTTCAAATTCCCCATCAGAGAACTTAAAGGTGAGTCGGCGCATGACGACGAGTTCAGCCGACGTCGGATCGCCGACAGAATATGCGACCTGGAAGATGAAAGATCGGCTCGATTGGAAGCAGCTTCCCAGAACGGAGAAGTTCTCCGATCACAAATCAGTCGAGTGAGGGAAACCATCGACCAAACCTTGAACGAAGACACCACGTTAGCTGACAGGATCCGAACTCAAGGAAACAAGGGATCACCATTGCCAGAGTTCTGATGGTGTTCGGCTTCA